TCATCTCTCCGTTTAGCTCCTCGGCTCCTAAACCACTTCTTCTCCTTCTCCGTTCCCTCTCCGTTACAGACATCCCTCCCACTAACGACTGACAAGCACGACGACGCGCTCCTCGCACGACACATAAGGATCGCGTATACGCTGGCGCGCGTGCAGCCGAGCAAAAAAATGTCGTAAAATATAGTTCCTCCGTGGATATGCAAGCTACGGACGGGCCGGGCCCTCGAAGAAGAAAAATGCGCGTTGGGTCGCGCGACCGGCCGCTCTTGGGACGATCGAATCGATGGGACGAGTCAGGTAACATCCACTCCTCGTTCCTCGCGGTTGATCGTAGGTGTTGCTGAAATTTGATTCCCCGCCGCGACGCTGCACCGACGCGACTTCCGATCATGCGCGCGCATTCATCCCCGCGTTGCAACTCGCCGCGGTACCTTCCGACTTCCGACATTTAACCACACGAGTGATCGGATACGTCATATACCATTGCTTTTTTATCTCTCGTTCGATCTTTTTTTTTTTTTTTTTCATAGTTTCTCTCCGATTCTTTCTCAGATTAGAAGAAGAAATAGATACGAGGTAAATTAGGGAAATACAGGAAACGTCGATTTTCCTCGCTTTCCTCGCTTCAACCGCGGCAGATTGCTCGCGATCATCGAGAAATATGCCGCGGTTTATTTTCTTCTTTTTATTCATTTATTATTTTTTTTTTTTTTTTCTAATATTTCCAAGGCGATGTTCTATCTCGGGGCCTCGGATCGGAGGCGAAGTACGGCGCGCATCGACGCGGCAAAACGAGCATTCCGCTTTCATTCGCGCCGCATAACGATACACCCGGCCTGCGTGTCGCATCGATCTTATAAACCAGCATCAAACGGAGAGCAGCCGAATGAGCGGAGCCGGCCAGCCAGCCTCAGCCACACCCCGACGCGATTAAACCTGTTGCTGCTTCGCTCGTGCTTCGGCTCGGCTCCATAGACGCGTACACGTAGGTGTTCGACTGCGAGTATATGCGGAGATCGCTCTTAAACTCTTCGGACGAATGCTCGAGGACGCGTAGTTACCAGTTTCTAATCAATAGATTCCGGACGATTGACGATTGTCGATGGAGGAACGCGAGATATTTTCTTGCCTTTGCCACTCCAACTTCTTCTTGTACAATTTGCTTATTTTCTCTTATCTTATACATAACAGCTCAAGGAATATCTATAATTTTTGCGCATAAATCTTATTTGATATATAATAAAAAAAAGAAGGAAAATACGAAATTTTTGGACTTTTTATAACCGTATAATAAGTGCCATGATTGTTTCTGAGAATACAGATAATTCGAGTATAACGTATATTGTTTCAAAGAAGTAATGAGAATTCAATTCGGAAAAGCGTTGATTGAGAGGTAGAAAATCGAAAGATTTTATTACGAATAGAATAAATCATATTTTACAAAAATAATAATGTGTAATAATGTGTTATAATATGTAATAATAGATATTAGGAAAAGACAAAGATGTAAAAAAGAGTGGGAGAAAAAAATACTGGCATCCGTTCCATTCTTCGCCATCCCCACGATCAGTTTCGCTTACCTTTGACTTATGACTCTCGCCACTCTAACGTTGTCCAACGAGATCGATGCAAGAGCAGCGTATATAACGAGCTACCGAGGACTCGAATTTCGCGTCTCCAGTAACGGTGTGACGCAATTCGGTAAGCCGGCCGCGAGGGGTGAAGCGGATGCTAGGTGGGCCGTGAACAGAAATTAGGGGGTAGGTTTCACGTAATAAAACCGATCTTATCGTAACGTTTAATTCGATGGCCTGTTTATTTTCGAGCCGCGACGAAAATCGATCGTGATAAAACGCGGCACACCAAACTCTTGACGACTGAATCAACGATTTCCAACCTTATATTCCTCTCCGTACAACAAAAATTCCTTCCTCCTATTCTATTCCACTTTTATCGATTACGTACGTTTCTCATTCGTCTGGCATATACGTACATGTATATATATATATATACGTATAGC